GTCAAAACTTAAGTCAAAGTTATTGACATGTTTGACCTCACCTTTAACAGGGATCAAATGTATAGCAAATATATAAGATATTTGATTCCTCCTTTGACGTGGGTCAAAGGTGGAGTCAAAGTTAACATCACATTTGCCCTCTTCTTTGTCATGGATCAAATGTATCGGCAAAGCCATGACAGTTTTGACATACATTTGACGCACGTCAAAGTTTGGATCAAAGCTATGATCATATTTGACCTCGACTTTGATCAGGATCAAATTTAGAGTAAATCCAATTTTTCGTGCCGTGGGGGTCTGAGTCTGTGGTTTCTATCGGAATAATTCCAGCAATAGTCGCGCTCAATTTGTTGCCCTTTTTAGTACTCCATAACATTATCTGCTTGTTCAAAAATATGCAATTAACATTGCTAATACCACTTAATTCCAGAAATCCGCTCGTTCCATTGAATTCTGTTTAAAAAAAAAAACGTGATCGTTTAATCTTTGAAAGCTATACGATGTCTGAAAACCTGATTTTTTACCTATATGAAATTGTAAATAAAGAGGACTCGAGACGTTGAAATCTATTTTAACAACAGCAAAAATCGTGAAATCTTTGGTGATATCAAGATTAACATCCATTTTACCGTAGAAATTATCAAAACCATAAGTCATGCTAAAATCAGAAAATGGTTTGCTACTTGGTGAACCGGTTGAGGTAACTACCTTTAAATCATTGAACGCAGTCACATTGGGACCACTCCTTTTGAACTCTTCCGGGTCTAATAAATCAGCNGTTACTCATATCTAAATCCACATTCATGGAAGTTCCACCGTTAATATTCAATTTTTTATTGTCTACTTGTTCTACTTTATCCGATAATTCAGACAATGCTTGTTTTGTTCCATTGATATTGTTCAGAAGAGCCGTATCAGCGTTGTCAACATAAGACTTGTTGGTTTTATCGGCAATAGCAATGTTTTGCTTACCGTTTTCTGCATCAACATACGCCTTGCTGGTTTTATCTGCAATAGCAATAGCAATTTTAAAAGCGCGGTTATAAGATCTAACAGATCTTCTTGTTTTATAATGTCCGTAAGCATATGATCGTATGCCATTTTTTCGTGTTTTACGACATGAATTATCTTTCCATTTTTGGATGCTGCATACAGGTCATAAACCGGATGAATTTTATACTCGATATTATTTATTACAATCTTGCTCATTACCAATATATTAATATCGACACCAAAAATTTTTTCAAACCATAAACGTTATAAAAAATTGAGCCGTATAACATATATGGAAAGTAAAAATGAAAAAATTGAAAAACCAATAGAATTTCCTGATGAAGTAAAATTTAGAAAATTAAAAAGTGATAGAGAATTTTTGAAACCGATGCATACGAATGTATACCATCAACCGAATGAAGTTACACTTGATTTTATTGAAAATAAAATTTTTGATAGACCATCTTTTGAAAAACCGTATTTTTGAAAAAATTGATGTTTGATTTTGTAATGTCCGTAAGCATACGAGTGTATACCATTTTTTCGTATATATTTTTTATCATCAAAACATCATAGTGATACTTTATTCACTTCATAACTACCTAGTTGATGACAAATAGATCTGATTGTCTTCATCTTATGATAGACTTGTTTGCTTTCCATAAGAGTATTTCTATAATCAGTATGATTGATATTCTTTTTGATCACAATTTTCTTGATACCCTTCCCTGTTTTATTATTTTCTCCATTTTCTTTGATGTTAGAGTACATCTTACTTCTGAGACCAACAAATTCTGTTATTATTTCACCAGCGGCCTCATCGTTGACCTTACCAATCACTTTTTTTTATTCGATTTATCGTAGAATTTACTATCTCCTGGATAATCACTATTATCAAACTGGTCTTTATTTTTCCAAACGTCTTTGTAAACATCTTTTGTTTGAATTTCATATGTGAGAGAGTCAGTATCTGTGAACAATAATTGAGCTTTTGATTAATATTTTTGTTTGATACAATTATGATGGAAGTCGTACATCAAAGTCTTACTCAAGTCTAAAATACACAGACCTACATAAGCAGGTCTATTCAAGGTTAGTGCTTCTGTGATCTTATGTACTGCAACCAGATTTTTGTTGAAAATTGTTGATGATACGTAAGTAGGCTTACTTGCTAATTTAACATGTTGTTTCTCATCAGTAACAATTCTGACATCAACTCGTTTGCGAACATTCTCCATAGTTTTTCTAAAGATTGTATTATTCATGAGTTTGAAGAGGTCTTTTTCAAGCAAATTTTTAGCATTAGTAAGTTTCTGTGTATTAAAATATACTATTTCAACCAAGAGGATTGATTAAATTTTAATACACGATGAATTTTGGCTAGTTTTAATCCCAAATGAAGATATTCCTGTAGTGGATAACATATTTTTGTTTGTTGCTAAATGTAGGTATCAATTTGTGAACCAGCTGTGTTATTGAGATATTAAATTTGTCTTTTATTTGCTGGCAATATTCTGAAAGCATATTTTTGGTGACTTTTACCTGTTCTCAGGAGCGGCGTCGACAAAACCAGGATCGGACCGGACCGGACCGTATCACGGATCGGATCACGGACCGAATCACGGATCGGATCACGGATCGGATCACAGATCGGATCACAGAAAAAAAAAACAACAACAAAGTTTTAAAGAAAAAAAAATTCTTCAAAAAACGAAATCTTTTATAAGATAACAATAAATAAAGAATAAAAGTGGAAGACTAAATTATGTTAAGTGAAAATAAGAATCCGGAATTTGAAGCAATGACATGTTAATTACAGAGAATGACAAGAGGTCATTTAAAAAGCCACATAACCGCTTAATTTACGACGAAATTAAATTGTAATGAACAGGCAGATGTTATATTTGAACGTTAGTTGGCTCGAAGCTTGCGTGAACCTCCCATTCTCGTTTTTAAAATTGTTGGTCGTATCAGTAGCTAATTCTCGGCTACATTTTCGTGTCAGATGTGAGCATTACAGTTGGCGTTACAGTTAATGAGAAAACTTACGTACGAAAACTTATG